GCCTGGCATGACTTGGTGGTTAGGGGACTTCACTCACAATCTGTGAGTCTCCGAACATGCTCGTCTTTTTCAGCCGGGATGGGGGGTCATTATAATGTAACGGTCAAGCACACTGTTCGTTGGTAAAAGAGTATTCCAAGAGTTGGCAATGGATAATGTTGACCAGTTGCCTTCCATCTAGTCTATCATTTCAAAATTAGGGACAGCTAGTGTAGATAGCCCTGGAATAGCTTTGTGTGAAAATCAACAAACAAATCACAGATAGCCCTGGAATAGCTTTGTGTGAAAATCAAGAAACAAATCACAGATAGCCCTGGAATAGCTTTGTGTGAAAATCAACAAACAAATCACAGATAGTCTCGAATGTCGATCACCAATTCATCTAGTTACGCTAGAACACGAATATTTGTACATACTATTCCAGATACTTGACCCTCCTGTTTTGCTGCAGAGACCTAACTACCTTCTTTCTACCTTACATGGATTGTCTCATCAAATGGGCACAGGTCAAGCTTGGGCACTACTTTCCATGCAACAAGGTGAAGCATTAATGCTGCAGATCGAGGAAATTTGAACAGATGCACGTAACGTATGGCACTTGTACACGCAGTTATGAGTTCAAAAAGGTGTCCTGTACTGTTCTTATAAACCACTTTGCATAATGCAAGGACTGGAGGCCAAAAAAAGATGTTACATACTCATGTGCTAACTTGACAAAATAGTTTTTATGGCTGTATTTGGTTAAGACGTTGAGAAATGGATAAAATATATTGTGCTGCATGATCGATTATTTCACCAAGTGGTCCGAAGCCTACTCATTGGTTGATATATTAGCACAGTCCATCATTTATAGTGTAAGATAGCAAATTCTATTTCTTATGATCACAATGGGTTGTACTCTCGTGACCTATTCTGTGAATAAATATCCTGCCCGAAGCTTCACTAAGAAAGAGAGAGAGAGAGTCGCGAGATAAATTAATGAAGGGTATAGTTATTGCTGTTTGCCACTCGATATTGTTATCCATATTCTTATTGATATTAAAAGGTATTGTTTAAATGTTGTATTTACTGTTGTT